GTATCCATTTTACTGACAATGATTGATCTTAAACAAGGCTTGATTAATCATTGCAAATTTTTCCATGTACTTTAACCCAAAAGGTCTTTTCAATCAAAGAGGGAGGTTATTTTCATGATGAGCTCACTAGTTCATCCAGCAAACAAGTTAATTACCCTTCGCTATCTCTTTCCTATCCATTGCATCCTTGACTATTTTTCAAATCTTGGATAAATGTTGCATCTTGCTGCGCCACATACTTCCCTCACTTCATATTTGAATGTCTCATATAGCCCAGCAACAAGTCGACGATAGCAGCCATCAGTCTACCCACGCTTAGTCCAGCAACGGAATCTTCGCCTACCTCCATAGGGCTGCCCACTTCTGAGGACTCCTTGACTGGGGCAACTGGCGCATTAGCAACTGCAACTACGCCTACAAGCTCGGTACCACCACGCACTGTGTCTTCAGTCAGTGGTTCAGCTTTGAGCAGTAAGGGGCAAGGCGTTTTATTTCTCGATCTGAGCATAAAGTAACATTTTACTTCAGGAAGGAGGGCAGCAATGTTTTATTTATCATGCGATACTTTCTATGCCTTATGATGCCCATTTGGGTTTAATTCTTTGGCCGTCATAATTTAAAACATTTTGATAGTAAACTTTAACATGCGTCTAGAATAAGTATGTTTATGATTCGTGAGTTTAGTAATTATTAAATATCTCAATTCTTCAGGAGTTGAGTTAAAAATAAGGATTAGTTGATTCTTTCCTTACTTTACTGCTGGCATCCTGCGCTTTAAAGAAATCATCGCTATCTGCTAGTTCAGACTTAACTCTCTTTTAATTATCTTATTTACCTTCAGCACAAAGTAATAATCCTATTTTCCATTGTTCATGCTAGCTTTTAATTGTTCTTCGTTCTGTTTGTTTAAATCTAAATTTATAGGCCTAATAAGTTAGACGTACAAATGAAGACCAAGGTATTGTGGCCCCTATTTTTGTCGCAGTCTCCTTTCAATCTATAAGAGTGGGCTGCCTTAGTTTTCGCAACTTGGTCATGTTATTAGGGCGACCTAGTTGAACGCACCTTGTCCGAAGTCCTTTTATCTATTGGTTATGACAATTCCCAGCGTTGGACCATGGACTTGGTACATTTCCTAACGCTTCTCCAGCATCGTCAGTTAGTCTTTCCAGTGAGTCGCCTGTTGTCTCTCGAGTTCATTTAATTGATTTTGCTATAATGCTGAATTTCTGTGATGGTTTTGATTATTCGCCTTCCTACTCATGTGACCGTCAGGCCTCTGAAGTTATAATTGCTTCTCCGAGAAGACAACACTCACTGAAAACTTCTTCTTTTGATTTCTGAAAGTTCCTTATCCGCTTCTTTCTTGAAATAATTTTTTGATCCTGTCGTTTCCTTTTTGCTGGTCATGTAGAATCCTTGTTTTTTCCTAGTTTGCTAATGCAATGGGCACAGTTATCGCTAACTCTGTCTTTTTCCAATCTCCTTTTCATTTCATTTCTTTCTTCAGGGATGTCAATGACCTCCATAATCTTCAGTTTCATTGTGTTTTGACTGTATGAGGCCCTTCTTTTTGTTCTCTCCCAATTGATCTCGTATCCAGTCTATGCGATGTGTTCTGTTAATTCCCATCTTCATGTATCCATTTTCTTGCAGAGTTCCTTGATTCATACGCTAATTTTTCTCCCTCTTTCGCCAATATATTTCTGCTTGCAGACACCGCAGGCTATGCAGTAAACTCCTGAGCAATCCCATTTGTCCACCCTCTCATATTGCATCGGTAGACTTGTGAAGAGTGTTCTTTTTCCCTTCATGAACACCCGAATATTCATTTCCTTAATATTGGCCGTAGTTTTTAAGTTAGTTCGCAGGAAGGTAGGCATATCCACTTTTGTGAATCCTCCGTTCTTACTGTTCTTTCATAGTCCCCGTTCTGCCATCGGCTTTTCAGGGCCCGTATGTTTCTTTGTATTACTTCACTTGGGTAGCCGTTGCCGAGGAATATCCTTGTCAATTTGTCCAACTCCTCGTCCCAGAATTATACATCCGTTAAGACTAGGCTTCGTATTATCATTCTTCTTATTATTCCTATATTTAGCCTGTAATTGTGATGGGAACGGAAATTGAGCATTATTCTAGCATAAGACTTCTTTCTGAACAATTTCTTTTTGAGCGCCCCATTAGAGCGAATCACTTCAAAATACAGGAACGGTAACTGCTCACTTTCCTCTACTTCAATCGTGAATTGAATTTTTTCATCAATCTAGTTTTTAAAGATATGAAGACAAAGATGTTGTGGCCTCTGGTATGGTCGCAGTCTCCTTTCGATTTATATAAGTTGGTTGATATCGTCTCTTTGACGAGTTCATAGCTTGGTGCGGAGAATAGCAAAACTCACTGATGATGCCGACTACGATGCCGGCGAAATGCTTTGAGAATGTATCAAGTCCACTGTATGATGCTGGGAATCATGACAACGACTATTGCAGACGACTTCGGATTAGTTGCGTTCTACTAAGTCTTCCTGACAACATTACCAAGTTGCGACAACGAGGTCAACCCATTTCTGGTTTATAAAGTTCAGAAAATCTTCCAGTTTTTCTCTTCAATGTGACCAAAGTGCGAAGTAGTCATCAAGTAACCGCATGAGCACTGCTGGTTGTAGCGGTGACAACTTGAAGTTCTCTTCCAATTTGTCCATGTTGAGAGCGGCGATTCCATAGGAAGTCTAAATATTTAGCCATAGATGTTGCCGTTAAATGTGAAGTAGGTAGTTCTTATCGTCAAGTTGATTAATCGTGCTAATGACTCCCTCCTGACCCTTTCTGCTTCCACGATATCCTTTCCTCGGTTCAAGATCTTCAGTAGGACTGTTAGCGCCTTTTATCCATAGCTGTTTGTATACATGGATTCTACATCAAAACTTATCGGTAATTTTATTTTTTTTAGTGCCATGTTTTTTATCCTTTGAGAAAATTAATGTGAAAGTTTAATTCCTTTATTTTCAAACATATGAGCTTTACCAATTTGTGTGTGGCTCCATACTTGTTTTTGACTATCAGCCTTAATGGTTCACCTTGTTTATGTATCTTCGGTAATCCGTAAGCTGTTTCTTATTATTTTATTTGGCATCCATCCGTCAATCTAACCGTTCATATCTATATCTTTCGGAA